CCAGCAGCCTACAGGAAACCTCGAAGAACAATACTATGCTTTTAGAAACGAGGTAGGGGTTTTAGTACAAAAGAAAAGAGTCACCGAAAATTTCGTTTGTATATGAAAACGAGCAGTATTTTAGTGTCATCTATACTGCAAAGAAGAAGTAATCTTATTTTGTTCTAAAAAGTTCTTTCATAAAATATTTTTGTGAAAAAGAGATATATACTTACGTTTCCTTTTTCACTTCCATTTTGAAACCAATTTCTATTATTATAAATATATAATTATATAAATAGTATTAAATAGTATTAGTAACGAACAAATTCTCGGTCATTTTCTTTATTTACCAATTATCAATTTTCGTAATCGAAACATCATTGAAACATCATTTCGTGTCATCAAATGGAAAGCATCCAATATCAAAATTGACGCTTGATATTCGTCAATTTTTATCACGTGACTTATTTTGATGATTTTGAACGCCGAAAATGAGTGTCGAGCGTCGGCATGAAAAGGCACCTTTATAACCTGATGACAGCTAATAATGCATTGCATGAGGAAAGTTAAATTGTTAGAAAATAAAGAAAGTTAGTACGTACTTATTATAGCATGTACATAATAGTACATACATTATACGTACATTATTAGATTCTATACGTAGAGTCCTAGAACTCTAATTATAGCAGTAATGAATTAAAATGGCGGTCACGTGAGATTTAGACAGCCAATCAAACCATATCCTTCAATGTCGCATCTCTGATTTCTAGGACTGTATTCAAACCATTCATTTAAACCAAACGTCAATTGGAATGTGCAGGCATCTATAATCTATCTAAATGCCTCTACAGCCATCTAGTGCCAGACGGTGCAGTCGTACATTTTTTCGGTTGATGACGTATCCCATGTTGAAAAGTGACAGTTCGGAAATTTGCGTGGCAATATCTCCGCTTGTAGAATACGTAGAGAAAAAATAAAAACACGTATAATACAATCAGAGTGTAAGCTATCGAGTAAGGTATATATTAAATCAATCGAGACAGCCGTTATTGAGATCCGATAATCTCGATCTGACGTATCTCTCCGGTTCGCATAAAGTAGCCACGGCAGTGTCGCTGCGCTTTGGCTTAGCGCCGAGACACTACCAGTGTCTCCAAATACGTTTTATAGGTATACGCATTTCTGTGTCTACCTGGACGCGCAGCAATCCGAGAAGGGTTCACCCCTTCGTCGAGTTTCTTCTCGAGTCTTTCTCGAAATCTCACGAGTCTCTCGCACAGAACCAGTTGCCTTTATTATCTATCTCTCTTTACTCACACTCGTAGGGAAAACAGATTGTTCGCGCTCCTTGATATACGATATGTTCCCCCGGGATCAAAAAGAGGAGGGATCAGGTAGGAACAGGTAGAAAACGGTCGCGAACGACTCACTATCGTATTTCATTTACGCATGCCTCGTGAACTTTGGGTTCGCTGTATCACCCAGCGAACTTTTACCCGGGATCTGGCCTAGTTAACACGCTTTGATTAAAAATATGACAGATCGGTAGAATTTAAGAAAGAGAAAGAGAATTGAGTTCTCTCTCTCTCTCTCTCTCTCTCTCTCTCTCAAGAACTCTAAAGGTGCCTTTTCATACTGACACTCGACATTCATTTTCAGCGTTAAAATAGGTTACATGATCAAAATTGACGTTTGATATTCGTCAATTTTTATCACGTGACTTATTTTGATGCCGGAAATGAGTGTCGAGCGTTGGCATAAAAAGACACCTTAAGACTTTTCGACTGAGCTTTGCAAAGTTCTTGCGATCTGAAAAAATTTGCAAAATGTTCTAAGTTTTATAAAAGTCCTAAAGAAAGATTAGGTACATCAGACGTATAAGTTGTAGTGAACATATTGGATGTGAATACATATGTGATTTCTAAATTTCGATCTTTGATTTTAGATGATCATGGGGGAATACCTGCACGGGAGGAATTTCTCCGGACACACGACGAATATGCTTTTCGGATACACCATACCTCCATGGCTGTGGAATGCTTATAAGAAAGTTAGTTTTGTTAATTTTAAGAATTAAGTAAAATTAATTAATATTTTTGTCAAAATTTCTTCTGAACTTTTTAATCTTTACGAATTAAAAATTATTAAAGTCATTTAATTTTCATCAATTCGTATCTTTCTATAGAAATAATATAAACTAATTATAAAAAATAATGTAAAAAATAATGTTTGCAGGTTGGTGTGTTCGGTTTCGGTGCCGCTTGTACCGTTTTAACCACCGATATTGCTAAATATACTATAGGTCGACTACGGCCACACTTTATGGAACTCTGCGTACCCAATATTGACTGCAACTTGCCCGAGTATCAACACAAATATATCGTGGATTTCCACTGTACCGCAGCGGTCTCGAATAAGCTCCTAAAGGAAGTCAGGTAAGAGATCTGATGCGAGAAACATTCCTGAATTTCTCATCAGCTTAAAAGGAGATAGAGCATCTTAATCTGTCGCAACATGAATATTATCTGGTCTCTCGATCATAATCCTGCGTCTCGAAATGTATCTCTGCTGTCATATAATATTGTATTTTGACGTAATTATATATTTTTTCATTCATAATAATACAATTATAAATTTAAAAATTCATAAATATTTCATGTTTCCTATATAAAAAATACAAATATACCAGTAAATTTTGAATAATAAATAACTTTAATAATTTTAAGCAATAAAAATTGAATTCTTTGAAGTTATGGAAAGTAATTAAATATATTAAGTGTGTCAAACATATTTGTTAAATATGTGAAATAATTAATAGTCTCACGATTTTCTTCAAAGATCAATTTTCTTAGATATATTAACCATACTAGGGAAGTAAAATTGTTCTTTCTTTTAAAATTACAAATATGCACATATCCGATCAGGAAGAAAATGTTCTCTTTACATGGTGGCTACGTATGGATTATGACGTGAATTTGTTTGTGATAAATCGATAAAGTTTAATTGTATCTGACGATGTGGCTTGAGCTATATCGTAAGTCATAGATGTAAGCAACGTACAAGCTTTGGCGTATGACGTGGAATTTATGTACATTGCCGTATCTCTTGATAGTGTGCTACCACGTGCTATATAAACAAAACGTACGAGTTTGTGCGTTGCTTACGTCTACAACTTAAGACTGCCGTAAGTGTTACAATCCTTGTGCTCAGACCCTTATATTTGGTTTCGGTACACACATATCGCGAGCCCTCCGCAATTTTACTCTCAATACGATCGGCAGCAACCAGCCGACATCGACGGATCTTCAGGGCAATACCCTGAAATGATGATGTTCGCGATGATGTGAGACAAGCTGTTTAGATCGCGTGACGGTAACAATTGCGCCAGCAATTACTGGCGAGGCGTGCGATTGAACGAAGAAGCGAGAAACGTATTTCATTATTTTACTTCATTAATGGTCCGCGGACTTTGCGCTTGTGCAGACAGGTTTATAAAACACGAGATCAAATGATAATTTGCGGCAATCTAAGGGAATAAACCCTGGAGAAGAAGGACGGAAAAAAACGATTACGATTGTCTTTTAAATCAACTCGATATGTCGACACTTGACTCTCATAAAATGCTCATTAAATTATCAGTCATTTACTCGTTTATCCCGCTTATGTCTTATCAGGTTATTTTTATGCATTTCTTTTAATTATAGTGATTGTAGTATTGTGCATATTCATTTTTATAGGCTAGAATTTTAAAATAAAATATTTAAAAGTTAGATTTTTTGAGAGGAAAAATTGTATAAGTTTGTTCAAAGAAAGATAAATAAATGAAAAAATTTTTCGCTTATATCATAAAAATAATCATTACTTTTTAGTAGAAAAATTAGTAAAGAAATTCATATTTAAAAGAATCTTAAAAAATATTTTCAAAAATATTGAAGTAGTGTGAAATTGTTTCAATTATTTTATTAATATTGCAACTAGATAGAAGGGTAAATATTAAAAAAAACGAAAACAGCTCCTTGATCTTGACGTTGACATATGTTGTCAAGGTCATGACTCTGAGTAACCTCCAATAAATTTTAACCATCGTTCGTCCTTCATTAAAAAGTTATTAACAAAAAAAGTTTAAGAAATAACTTCTTTTTACTATATTATGATGATGAAACGAGATTTTCTGTTTTAGAATATATTCCATAACTTCCCATAACTTTTACAATTTCCCACACGAAGCGACTCTCACTCCCCTCCCACCTGCTTCAGGGGTGTACGACTCTCACCCTCTTCCCCCCTGCTCCAGGGGCGCACGACTCTCACCTTCGATTCTCATCCTCCCCTCCTTCCTGTAAAGGCGTGTACGACTCTTACCCCCCTCCCCCCCGCTTCAGAAGCGCACGACTCTCACCTACGATTCTCACCCCCTTTCCCCCTGCAAAGGGGCGCACGATTAGAGCTTTAACTCCCACCCTACCTCCCTCCCTGCTGTCGAAGATGAGAGTCGTTCGCCCCTGAAGCAGGGGGGGAAAGAGGTGAGAGTCGGAAGTGAGAGTCGTGCGCCTCTGAAGCACGGGGGAGGTGGGGTGAGAGCCGGAGATGAGAGTCGTGCGCCCCTAAAGCAGGGGGAAGGGGGGTGAGAGTCGCTTCGTGTGGGAAAACGTAAAAGTTGTGGGAACTTGTGGAATATACTTTAAAGCAGAAAATCTCGTTTCGCTATCATCATACAGTAAAAAGAAGAAGTTACTTCTTAAACTTTTTTTTGTTAATAACTTTGAAAGTTGAAAGTTATTAACAAAAAAAGTTTAAGAAGTAACTTCTTCTTTTTACTGTATGATGATAGCGAAACGAGATTTTCTGCTTTAAAGTATATTCCACAAGTTCCCACAACTTTTACGTTTTCCCACACGAAGCGACTCTCACCCCCCTTCCCCCTGCTTTAGGGGCGCACGACTCTCACCTCCGGCTCTCACCCCTCCTCCCCTCTGCTTCAGAGGCGACTCTCATCTTCGACTCCCACCCCCTCTCCTCTGCTTCAGGGCCGCCGACTCACCTTCGACTCTCACCTCCCTCCCCCCTACAAGGTCAAGGTCATTGGAGCTGCTTCCATTATTCTTAATATTTACTTATGGAAGTTTTTCAAAATTATAAAAAATTGAAATAACCTTAAATTTTAATTGAGGATTTTTAAAATAAAAACTAAAATTTATTTCGTTAGTAAATTATATCTGAAAAATATCTTGCTTACGTTGCGTTAAGCATTATTAAAATTGAGTAGAATTTAAAATTTTACGAAATTTCTTGAATTGACTATTTCGCGTATGCGAGCTTTGTGTTAGTCGGCTAGGGAAACCTTTTTGCGCATTCTGGATATACTACGTATACATATCGCACGAAGGCCAGTTTTAACGGACACCAGTGCGCGTACACAAAAAGAGGCACGGTAGTGAATGACAATAAGCAGTGCTCTGCCTGTGGGCTTTGCCGACACGATTCACATAAGCGAGATTCATGCCAGATTCGTGCAATTCTTTCTTTTCTTTTCTCTCTCCCCTTGGTTAACGGAAGTGCTGTTACACGCTTGAATTATCCGCTTATTGTTGTTAGCTACAATAGCGATCGGCAATTCGAAAACTCGCAATACAAAAGCGAATATATATATATATATAATCAATTATAATGAAAAAGTTCATCATCACCGCTAAAACTCTTTCAATTTAACTAGATTTTTTATTTAAAAAAATATTTTTACAGTTTATTAATACTATTGTTATTTTCATTGCGACTATAGGATAATAAATATAACATAGATATCTTCATGACGAATTTACAAGGAACCGCTAAGTTCAGCACTTTATACCATTGCAATTTTAACAGAAATGTAGTACATATATATAAAAAACATCTCAGCTTCTCTTCTTTTTACACGTCTGCAAAATTTGCTTATTTGATTGATCTAACAATAAACGCAGAACGCGAATAGCCTCATAGACTAAGTGCAGAAAGTTCAAAATAAAATTTCGCAAGACGCGCTTAGGGCTTAGGACATTTAGAATTTGAGAAGACGTGCGAAGAATTACATACGGCTTATTACTAGAAATAACCCTGAGCCCATCAACATTCTAATGCGTACGTCATTATCTTTTAAAAATCCGGAAAATACACGCACGTTACTCATACAGCACAGAAGATTGACACAATATTGCTGCAATGTTACAATATTGCAGATTGCAATGTAACATTGCAGAAATATTACAAAAATGTAAATTAACAATTTGCCTACAAAATATCAGTAATATGTCTGTAATATTCCACAAACATTGCAAAACTGTAATTCTTTCATTGTTACAATAATAATAATATAAAAATATCAGTTTTTACAATATTTATATATAGTACAGTCTTTTAGTTTGACAGTCGTTTTTATAATGTAATAATTAATATAGGGTAACTCCGGTATATACGCCGCGCTGGGATTTACGCAGCGGAAGTAAAAAAAAATAGCAGGAGTAATTTTCTCTCTTAACACTACTCTGTTACATGCCTTTATGTTATGTTAGTATTGAATTATAATTTCAACTTTTTACTGTTAATATTAATGAAATTATTGTGAGTTGAATCGATTTGTCACTGTGTGTGTAACAAGTAGCATCATCATAAATTATAATCTACATAAAATGATTACTGTAAGGCGTGTAAAAGACTTAGTGGTTATTTCGTGATACATACGTATAGAAGAATAGTAAAGCATGTTGTATAGCAAAATACAAGTGCTTTGCTTTCGTATTCTTTGTTTAGTTTGTTGAAACCTTTGCATTTTTGCCATATATCCCACCCATTATCTATATAGGTATAGCAAAAATGCAAGATTTCAAAAAGTTTAATTTTTAATACGAAAACTAAATATTTTGGATTTCTAATATTTTTTCATAGTAGTAGACAGTAAAAAGTTTTTACTGATATAGTTCGTTTATTTTAAACGTAAATAATACTTAATAAATTAAGTTTTTGATAGGTGCGGCGTATATACCGGAGTTACCCTAATTTTATATTTAAATAAAAAATTTATTGATCTATTACTTGACGGCCATGTCATTAGCTAAATTTTATATTTATTTTAAATACGAAATCAAAAGATTGTATATAATACCGAGTTTGGATACAATCAATACATCATTATCGGATAAAACGATAAGCAATTAAGCTGAAAACAATTTATTGAAATATTAATTATGTGATCGATGATGTATTTATGCCTGATGTGAACGCAAAAATAAACCCCCCCCCCAGCGCCCGAACTTTATTGATAAATTTCATACCGTCATTTTTTAATCGATTTCAATTGACTCGGAGTGGTTTTGAATTAAAAAGAATCACTGCGATTAACTTAATCCATGATTAACTTACCAAGCGACTGTATTATTATGTTAATGTGGATAATATTTGT